TGTTGGGTCGGTGGGGAAACCTACATGTGTTTGGGTCCAGCCTAGGGTCTAGTTCTTCTGGTTCGGTTCATTTGATGGTTCCTCTTGAACTTCGTTCGAAACTTTTGTCAGTCTGTGTGGGTGAGCTAGTGCTAAGATAGTTGTGTAAGAGGGATGCTGTGACCTTTGGTAGGTTGGGGTTTTCACTCCCCACCCCCGGTTGTTTTCTAATGATCCTAAGTGGATTGACAACCACACAGTCACGTGTCAACTCACCTTATCTAAGACCGCTTTCCATACGCTCGCTAGCTCCACACCCTCGATTCTGTTCACGCAGATTCTGTTCCCCAGATCTATTCTATGCCCCGTGCCTAAGGCATGTACCACAATCGCTGAGTCTTTGACCAGCGTTTGGTATCCTTCTGCATTCCCTGGTGGTTCGTTAATCCTTCTTTTATGCTCACCATTTCTGGTGTGCAATTCCCTGGCAGTTTGTCCTATATAAACCTTAGCGCAATTGGTGCAGTTAATTTTCAACGGCTACTGTCCTCACCAGCCTCACAAGTTGTCTTTTAGCTTGGCCGTTAGAATATGGAACGTAAAATAGACGGTGGTGACTCTCTTGCGAAGCGAAAAACTGAGCACAACAATAGGCTGTGCAGATGATAGCAAATTCTAGCCTGCGCCAACGGTAGATAACGGTTTTGCGGTGGGACATCAATTCACCATGTTTCCTGTCATAACAACATCCATTCCTTGACACAATTCCCCTGTGAGAGCTAACAAAAAGTCATCACATATGCTACTCCAGCTTCCTGCGAACGAAACTGCACTTCAAGTGTCGGCACTAGCCCAATAAAATTATCTCGCATGAACAATTTCGGTAATACTCCTTCCGTGGAGCATGCCCCAATTATTCCTAGGGGTCATAACCCACATGACTCATTACCCAAAGCTGCCTGAGGCCACCACAAATCCACTGACGTTTGCTTGTGTGACGAGAACGGCAGACTGTAGGTCTTTTATAGTGACCAGCTGTAGTTAAACAGGTCACCTGTCAGCGAATATACACTCATATGCAAACTCATCACAAACGAGAGATTCAGCTGGGTTCCAGTTGAGTCTCTCGAAAGAACCAAATTAATTTGCAAATGAGTGTATATTCGCTAATTTCGTGCAATTTGGTTTCAAGTAGAACATAAGGTTGACGGAAACCCGGGGACTGCGCCTACCTGATGAGCTCCAAAAAGGGCGAAAACGGTCGTGGGCTGTCGACGGATTTTCAGCAAACTTATGAGAAGTACATTACAAGGTCACCTTTTAGCTGCATTCAGAGCAGATCACGTCTTGTAAATTGAAAAGATAAATACGAGCCCGTCCTTTGTCATCTTAGTTCGGAGGAATTGGAGCAGAACACTGCAACACATACGAGGAACTTTTAAACCACGAGGAAACTAACATACTGTACAGCTGGCGCGTGTTCCGTACCAACACAAACAGTAGTCTCAACTTGCACCAAGGGGCCTCGATGAAGTAGCACATGAACTTCCATTGCGTCCACCTCCGAATCGACGTAAAGGTAGGGTGGTGTAAGACAGATGCAAATGAGCCAATTGGACAGAATCTGCTTAAACGACTGAACATGGCGGGTGAACGACGTGTCAGACATATTGTGACCTTGCCTACACACGACCAGTGTAAGCGCCACACGTTCGGTTAACTATCTGCCAAAACTGGCTTTAGCGCGAACTAATTCTGGAGCCATAGAGTGGAAGTGAACAGCACTCAACGTTGCTGGAAGTGGAACACTGCTATATCAAGTGCTCTTACCAGTCGTTGTTCTGTTTGTCGAACTTGGCAACTTTTCGCGTCACTAACTGGAGACATCATCTGTGTACGGTGGCGATGCCTCGCACTGACAATAGCTGCTCGACCGGTGACGAGAAGTCAATTGCCGCTTTCGGAGAACGGGTCAACAACCAATGAAAGTTAATTTTTATAATATCTAGTCTTGTAAACCTGACACCAGGAAGAATGTAGGTTGACATGAATTTTATAGGGAAGGCGATAAGTAAATATAACGTCACTTTGAACTAATTTCGCGGACCGAATTGCACCCAATCGAACATCCGTCGTTCTAACGAATAATATCAACTAATCAATACAGTACTCACAAGAAATTTCAGTATTTTGCCCAAATGCTCCTGGTTCGCTTAATGCATGAGTTTTCTTTCAAACTGTGGGCTGCCATGCCACTCGAAGGAGGCACGAGAGCTGAGATAGTGCCGGGCTGGCCAAGCCTAGATGGGAGCAGTCGAGATGCAGAGGTTACACTCGAACCGCGGACATTCTGGTCGATCTCCAAGCACTGAGCCATATCGAGCTCTCCATTGCGAAATTCTCGCACAGCATTGCTCTAGTTATATGGAGCTTTTTGATATCTCATAATCTGACTTAGAATCAGATCCGCAGGACACAAGCGGTTCCGAGCTGCATCCAGCGAGAAGCATCGCCCAGTAAGCTGAATTTGAGTTTGCTCCAGCCTCTAACCGAATCCGCACCACCTACCTATCCACAAGATACCCATGCTCCCGCTTGTGCACTATATATAGTCATTGAGCAGTAACCCTTTCGGTGCTCGCTTTCATGCCACCCGAAGGAAGCACGAGGACTGAGATACCGCCAGGTTACTCACAACCATACAAAAGCAGTTGAGCTACCGAGGTTGGGTTCGAACCAAGGGCCTGCCGGTCAGTAAGTTCGCGCCTTAACTACTATCTCGAGCTCCGTATTGGGTGCTAACCATTTGGAAGCGCACTTTCTTGGGGAGGAACACGGTTCAACCAAGCTGGTTTATTCCATACGCGTAGAATAGGCAAACAAACATGGCTTCATTGATTTCATCAAAACAAAAAGCGATAGTAATCACTATGGTTTTGGTTTCGCCGAAGGACCACCTTCCGCCATGCCTTCAACAGGACTGGCTCCCTGGTCCGTCATACAGGGAATTATTAGACCATATCTTGGGAATTCAGACCACATCATGCATCCGGGCACCTGGGACACCTTCCAAACCTCTCGATATGAACATGACACATACGACAGCATAGCGGAAAAAAGTAATATAAACGAACCGTTTTGGGTTCGGGAGAGATCAGTGGTTAAGGCACGAACTCTTACTGACCGGACGGCATCCAGGCTGCCCCTATCTAGGCTTTGGCCTTCATATTGTTTCAGGTGGCTTGGCAGCTAGGCATCGAAAGGGTGTCACAGTTGAACGATAGTTATCCTTCTATTCATTTGAACGATGCCGCAAGAGTTAGAAATATGCTGTTTTATGTTCAATAGGCCAGTTTCATAGAGTGGATGAGTACGGCATGCGGTGATTTGGATGTGATCTCGGGAGGAACAAACAGTGGTTTGATTCGACTCGAATCGATTTGCGAACGAAAAACACGATTACTGACGAAAACAACAATACACCTGTTTGAAGAAAGGTTTGGTAAACAATCGGCGGGTTCGTTATAAGCAGTAGGTGTCCATATTCCGCAGATAACCAACTACCGGTCCCCACCTGTTTGGGGCTCACCAGATGGCCAATCGGACCAGCCAGCACTTCGACAGGACGTAACACTCACCAGCTTATCGCACAGTTCATTTCACGTGATCCAGTCTAGACTGGCTTTTCAAGTGATGACTTATCACGTGGGAGCCCTAACCTTATAGATTTTCGGGGAGTCTCGAAGTTACGAATGATATTTCATCCTGGAATCGAAGCTAATCGGTGCCGTAAAGCCAAACAACCTTAGCCATCCTCGTTAGAAATCATAAGTGGCCTCACGAAGCTTCGGGCCAACAAATCTACAATCTTTCCTGGGGCTGCAAGCACGTCGCAGCCTCAAACCACTGATTATCAACAGCGCAGCTATTCATTGGATGTTAACTTGCCCCTGACTGACGAGCGCACAAAAAAGAATGCCCGCCTGGCTGCCTATCAGAGCGAAGATGCAGCGTACAAGTCGCCGATCAAGACAGGTCCTCAAACAACTCTAGAAACATAACGTTGTACCAGCAAATCGGAAAATTCACCCAAAGCGGAGCAAAGGAGAAAAACGAAAATTCACGCACTTCACTCACTCCAATCCCATCCAGCGTGCGTAACACTGGGCTCATGCGATCGGTTACGCTTTCCGATTCAGCACACGAACTTGCCGGGTTCGGTGAGGGCTCAAAAGAGGGTAGCGAAGATGTGCTGTGAATCAATGATAGACAAGAACGGTTTACTGTCTGGTTATCGTTTACTGTGAATTACAGACAAAGCTAAACACAAGAACGCATGTCGAGACATCAGAACTATCTAAAATACCAGCAAACAATCGATTAGATATTCACGCTTATTAAGCCTGGAGCTGAACGGTGTGCTGCCTAGTCCTGAAAGGCGAGTTGTACTCACCAGAGAGAGAGAGAGAGCCGCATCACCTGTCCCTTGTGGATCTGGTACTGTAAGCAAGTGAGACAGTCATCCCAGACACAGACAATCAAGTCGGTCACAAATGACAACTTTCTCTCTCAGCATGACAAACTCTGTGGGAATCATGGACTGCAGCCGTACAAGAGGAAAAATGGTTTGGCGCGAACCCCCACTGGTAATTGCGACAAAGAGCAGCAAACGGCATTTTTCGCCCACCCGGAGCAACATCGAAGACTCGCAGAATAAATGTCCTGGTTTTCGGTTCCGAAAGTTGTTCTCAATCACCCAAAACGATGGATAAGTCTCGTTTAGTGAGCGTGTCAAGGCAAATAGTAAAAAAACAACCATGCCCTCCGGATCCTTTGTTTAACGACCCCTACAATACCAGTGAAAGGAAGAAGGCCTTCGCTACGGAGTTATTTATTAGAAAATGCCAACTGACCGGTTCCAGACTATTAGACAGGAAAGCATAACTCTCATTTGCATCTTATTTACAAAAACTGGACATCCATCTTCTCCTGAACGCATCTTCTTGAACTTCCTGGATATTCATTGACTCCAATCATTCATTGCTCAAGTTCAAGCAAAGGTTACAAAGCGACTCCCCTAATTCCGCAACAGATCTATCTCCCTTTTCAAAAGACGCAAAGCGAAATTCCAAGAACAACACATAATACTCGCATGCCTCCTCATCAGTAGTATCACCGTTACACCAGTACAGTTCTTGCTCGAGCGTGGCTGTCCTACATTAAGTTGCCAAAAGTTCTCTCTTATTAAAACGAGCCTCACACTAACGCCTGTTTCCATTTGGACCTCCAATCTAGAAAAATCTTCGCATCCTCATGAAACATTCAATTTGAAACTAATTTGATTTTGTTGCTTTTAACGGCCGAATACCCCCGTCCACCTGCCTAAATAAAATGACGATAACGACGAAACAGAATAGGTATGACGAGAAAAAGCAATTACGTAAGGGACAGACAGAAACAGGGACTTATGGACAGACAAGCATACAGACAGGCGAGAAGCAGCAGTGAAGAAAGAATGGGCGAATGAGCACCATTCACGAGTTTCACAACAAGTTGAAAAATCGTGTGGTGAATGAACGTGTGTGTGCGTGTCTGCATGAATGAGATCGCTCACATGTTGTCTGGACAACAAGAGCACGGGAAATTACGTCACGGGTTTAGTGTCGGAGTTGGACGGAAAACCCTGGAAATTCAGCGTGAGCAGTTGCGAAATTTTAACAAATAATTTTGTACATTTTCGCAGTTTGTTACTTGAGCAACTCGGCTCGGTCTGCATGGCGGATAGACCGATTACGGTTCGATCTTGAACCCAATCACGAACGCGGCAGTTTTCTCTGAGTACCAGACATCGCAGCGTTTTTCTAACTCGATTAGCGTGAATGTGGAGAGTTTCAATTATGGGGACACCCGACAACTCATCACCAATGTATCGAACAGACCAAATGCCATTACGTCAACAATCAGCGCATGAGCGGGATATCAAATGAACATCATCCAGTTGGGCAAAGGTGATGGCAGAAAGGCCACTCGATTAATTCTAACATTTAATACAATGGATGTCTTGCGTTCTGACCCTCAAGTTATTTCGAATTGATTTTTTAGACACACAATCGCGGCCATGCGAAATGGTTGGGTAATGAAAACCGTCCAGCTGTAGCACCCTTTCGGTGCCTAACTGCCATGTCAGCCGGAGGAAGCACGAGGGCTGGGATACTGTCAGGTTGCCCAAGCCCAGACAGGGGAAGTCGAGAGGCAGGGGTCGGGTTCGAACCACGGACCTTCCGGTCAGTAAATTCGCGCTCTAACCACTTGGGCCGTCTAGCCCCCAGTTGGGTAATGAACACCGCAGAGACTAACCTGCAGTTTTTACCCACAAAAGATGCGTACTTTGTAAGTGGACAACCGATAGATCTGATTTCGAGCACAGTAGTTATCTTATGGAGAAACCACATAAGTGCAGCAGCCTTCACCAGGGGGACGTTTCTTTTCAAATCACCTATTCACTGATCACAAAGTTCCTCATATTACACTACTGACCGGATGGTAGGTCCACGAGAGCGAGATGGCTCAAGTGGTTAGAGCGCGAATTTACTGACCAGAAGGTCCGTGCTTCCAATCCCACCTCTGCCTCTCGACTTCCCCTGTCTAGGCCTGGGCGACCTGGCAGTATCCCAGCCCTCGTGCTTCCTCCGGGTGGCATGGCAGCTAGGCACCCGAAGGGTGTTACAGCTGAACGATTATTATTATTATTAGGTCCACGCGGTCATCCTCTCGAAGGAATATCTGCTGTCTCAAGCAAAGTGAGTGACATTCATGGCTTATATTATGCCTGGTAGGTGGAGGAAATGACCAGTAAAGCACCGAATATCAGTATGACAAAGTGGACTGATTCCAACTAGTCTGTATGACGAAAGCATGCTGATTTGGGATAATTCCCGAAAACATCCGATAAAGAAACAAAAGTGAGCGGCCTCAAATAGATTCTGTGTTCTACCACGGTGTCCTTTGTTCAAATTAACTATAAAATCATTTAATTAAGTCACAGCAGCGGTGGGGGTGGGTGGTTGAAAGGGACCGATTTCCGGGCAATCTACCGCATCTACAGTAAAAGAAAATCGTTCAGCTGTAGCGCCCTTTCGGTGCCTAGCTGCCATGTCACCCGAAGTAGGCACGGGGGCTGTGATACTGTCAGGTTGCCCAAACCTAGACAGGGGAAGTCGAGAGACAGAGGTGGGGTTCGAACCACGGACCTTCCGGTCAGTAAATTCGCGCTCTAACCACTTGAGCCATCTGGCATCTACAGTGCAAAGCCATAAAATCGCATTACAGAAGGAGGTGTTACATGAAGGGAAAGTGAAAGCGTTATGTAGCTAACAGAACTGTCATTGTTCAACAGCTCATACATATGATGGGAATGCTAGAAGGAAACTGTCAAACTGGCAAATAAACATGGATTACATCACGCGATTACCTGGAAAACAAAACAAACGCAGAAAAACGTCCCTTTGATACAATCATAGCACAACAGGCATGCTGGTATCATGAGTTTCAGGAGTTTAGGATGTGCGCTTCGGTGCCAGAATTCAGGCTGTTCTTTTAAGATCCAGGGGCGTGTGTGACTGAGTAGGCGTTGCTAGGCGAGATGATCACGCAGGTGTTACGATTACGTGTGATGTGTGCGCAAACAGCGCAAAACATGGGAGAACGGCGAACACCTTTACGTTATTGCGTATCAAGTGACGAGTCACGCAGAAAAAGAAAGTGACAATCACACACGAGTCACGTAACGTGAGAAGCGGTAGCGATTAGGGATCCTTCTTTTATAAGTATGTGATGATTAAGTACGCGTTACCAAATACTGACGGATATGAGCGAAGCGGAGGAATAAGACCCAAGTAATATGGTACAAGTGATTTCTACGCTGTTATCCGTCCACCTTTGACCGGATTGGAATCCCACTACTTTCCCGACCTAAAGGCTAATGGTCAGGCTTCTGTGCTGCAATGATCCCGTTCAGCTATAGCACTCTTTCGGTGCTTAACTGTCATGCCACCAGAAGGCATGAGGGTTGGGATACTGCCTGGTTGTCCAAACCTAGACAGGGGAAATGTACGGAGGCCAGCCGTCCCTAATAACCGAGCATTACATCATTTGGACAAAAGTGTCACGTGCAAGACAACGGCCAAACGAGGGCATGCCCCGATTGGCCAGAATGCCAGTCAATCCGAGTCAAGCACCTTTGACTCGACGCTTCTCACCCCCTCACGGAGATTCTGACACGACCTTGTGGAACACTCTGTGACTACCCTATAAATGGTTGTAATGATT